GCCCTCCAGCGGGAGAAAAATGTGGATGATCAGCGTAAGTCGAACGCAGCCAGCACCCACGGCGCGGGGCTGGCTCTGGCCGGGCTCCCAGCAGGGAGGGCTCACCCCCAGCTCTGCCCGGGTGACGCTTTTTAGCTGAACTCCAGCGCTGACCCACAGCCACCCGGCAGCCCGAGTACCAACCTACCTGCGCTGGAAGGGTTTGTGTGGTCTGCAGGACTTAAAAAACATCCCCAGCTCGGTCCCTACGCGTGCCTGGAAACTGCAGAACGGGAGGGGGAGAGGCTGGCAATGCCGGGGCGAGGCAGAGGAGCAGCGCTGGGGCTCCCTGGGCTGCACAGCAATTCAGGCTTTTCTTTCCTCTGAAAGGCAAAGTCACTGCAAAGCAGCCAGCGGCTCTCGCTGGCTCCCAAGGCAGGACCGGCCCCGGGTGGCAAGATGATGCCCACTGCCAGGCGCCCCTTGCTTTGAAAGAGGCACCTTTGACGCCCGAATCATCAGCGGCATCCAGGATTCAGTCTTCCCTAGACTGGGTTTATTCCCCTCCCGCAAAAAAAAAAAAAAGGATTTTTCCTTAATAAAAAAATGTAAACAATATTTCCCTATCAGCTGGAAACCACAACAGAAACGTCGTGGACTTCACCATCATTGGAAGTGACCTCGCCCAGGGGGGTGGCTGGGCTGAGTGTACCCTGAAAAACCCCCGCGCACAGCCGCCCCCCAGCAGCCCCCGAGGGCTGGGAGCAGCGGCTGGCTCATTTGGATTGACTTGCGACTCCCCACAGCTCACAGACAGATTCAGGGGGAGCCCAGAGGAAAGAAAAGGATCTCCTTCTCCTCTCCCGAGCGTAAGCCTGGCCCCTCGCAGCTCCACACCCTCTCCCTGCTGCCAGAGCGCCGCAGACCTTGCAATCTGCCGTTTCGAGCTGTAAAGCAAAGGAACCCGCGGACAGTGAAGCCTGGCTCAAAACTTGCCAGCCTGTCACCCCCGGCAGCACCAGTGCCCCTGCTCTCGGAGGACGGCATCAGCCACCTCCGCTCGGGGCACCGGCTCCGGAGAGGATGGAGAGAAGCCAGGAGGGATCCCTCGAACCCGCTGGCAGTTCTGAGCAGGTTTCACCGCGTCTTTCTCACGCCTCTCTAGACACGAGTCCCAGCAGGTCTCACGAGGGCTCCGCGTTCGCTTGAAGAAAGTAAAACCTGATGGAAGAGCTGGGCAAAGCTGAGAGAGGCTGAAGGACCCTCTCCCTCCTCTCCTGCTCCTGGGCTCAGTATTGCCGTAGGTTGAAAAACCCGACGCTGGTGGGGGACTCCTTGACCGTCACTGTGATCAGGTTAGCGGTGACGTCGGTGACAAAGACGTGCTCGATCAGGCTGCGGGTGGGTTTCCAGTCCTGGCTGGTCTGGATAGAGACAGACATGTTCTGACCCACGCCCGGGAAGGAAGCGGAATCCCGGTCTGAATCTGAGCTGGTCTCTTCGCCCGTGCTCATTTCGGAAAGGGCGGCCGCCTTGCGGTTCTCCGCGGCCGCGTGCCCCTCCTGCGTGCCGGCTGTGCCGCTTTTGGCCAAGTCTCTATCGCCTGCCCGGTGCGCCTGCTTCTCGTTCTTGCTGCTGTCC